AGGAAACATCAGGGACTGGGCTGAGGAAACAAAGTTGTCCATTGACAACGGGGAAGAGCCTGAGGCTCTGGAGCCAAGAGGGAGCCCTATGAAGCTGACTGAGGTAAGAGAAAGCAAGGATCATACTATTCCATATGGGTACCTGGAAGTAGGACTCAGTTGATTACAGCTAATGACTAATGACAGTCCAGCAAAGTCTACCTGTGTTAATTTATTTAAAAACTCACTCTATACAAATGATCTACTACAGTCTTTTAGTATTTACTAGGTTTAGCCATTTAACTAAAAGGTTATTTTTTATAAACCAAAAATAAGCAAAATGTGAAAAATACAGATTTAAATCGAAAGGATTTTAAGAACAAGTCACTATAAAAGTTGAAGCAAGTATCTTGAAGTTCACATCACTACCAAGTCACCTACTCTAAATGTAGAAAAATTATATATGAGGAAAAAAAGATATGTTAAAGTAGGTTGAAATTATGATGCAGGAAAGGGGAGGCAGGCGGAAGGCTCATACTTACTGAGAGTCTAATTTGTGTAGTATTTAATTATCCATTTATTCATTAGTTACTTACTGGGTGTCTACTAAGCCTGGCACTGCTTGCAGACATGAGGCATAAAGCTATGAATACATCAAACAAGATCCCAGTCCTCACAGACACACATTCTAGTGGCAAAAAACTTATACAAATGAGTAAATCAATCAATAACCCAGAAAATTTCAGGTAGAGATGATACCCTGAGGAAAAGAAAACAGAACAGTGTAATGGCGAGTGACTGGGGGAGATTCTCTAGACTTTGAAGACAAGGAGACGTGAAGACCTGGGTAGTTTACAGATATTCTTTCTTTTCTCTTTCAGAAGAACCCTCTGGAATAACTGTATGTCCCTAATTATAGATGAAGGTTCTGAAGCTTGGAGAGGTTAAATAAGCCAGAAGTCAAACTCAGGTCTATCTGATTCCCAAACCCATTTCTATCAGATCCTACAGCTGGCAAAATGCCCCAGTGTATTCTCTCTCAATAAATTCCTAAAACTCATTCTCTCCATATTGTCTCAAATGACCACAGATGACCTCTTGAAGAACAAGTAGGTAAAAAAAAAAAAAAAAAAAAGGCAGCGTCAGAAAAGAGTATCTAGAAAACTATTTTTGTGGATGCCCTGACTGGCTTTTCTTCACCAGTCACATAGGAGAGAGGGCAGAAGGTGGGGTCCAAGCAGCACAGAAAATTCCAGAAGAGAAATGGAACGCCAATGGAAACTAACAGACTGAAAGCTAGTGGGTTACTAAAGTGCTTAGAAAAGCTCCTTTGGATGGAAAACTCACACCGTTTACCGGGAATGCCAGCTTGACCCATGGTATAGGGCTGCACACAAATGCCACTGCAGAAGGCTCAGGGAAGAACGACAGACTTAAGTTCAGAGGAATTAGATGGAGAGATGCTAGCGGAATGGCTGCAGCCAATAAATAATTCATGAACTGAGAAAGATCATCAATAAGCTGTACTTGAAAATCATTCCTCAAGTCACAGAGGCCTTGAGTTGTACAAAAGCAAGAGAGCGAAGACATTCAAGGGACACTGATACTGAAACCAAGCACAAGAAGAAAGCTCCCTCACTGAGGACTGGAAATGTCTAGATCTTGCTCTCAATTTATGAGGATGGCAAGGGCAGCTTTAGGAAACATGGAGCCCTGGACTTGGAGAAAACGGTCATCAGAGATCTACCCTACAGTGTCTGGGCTGATGGATACCAAGGCTGCAGGGGGAAGTTAACCTCAGCACTGAAAACTCATTTCACTCACCCAAAATGGCTTCTTTATAATAAGCATGCACTGTTTTTACCTAAATGATAGTCGTATATGTTAGATATTCACCCCCCTGCCAAAAAAAGAAAAAGGAAAAAAAGAAAGAAAAACCACTTCATTTCTTCCTCTTAAACAAAGGTCAAGATTTGGGTTCTCTCCTCCTGGTTAGTAAGAGCTCAGAACTGTTAAGACACAATTTTGATTTGCCACATTCTTTTGTCCTCTCCCTCAGGCTGCCTCACTTGAAGAAAAGCTTTGTTATAATGGCCACAAAATGGCTCCCTCCTCCTTCTTCAAATCACTACTATTCACTATGAGTCAATGTCACCTACCCCTCCTCTGGTTTTCTATGATTAAATCTTGACCACACTTCTCCCTCCCCAGCTTCCCCCTCAGCCTCCCACACAAACACCCCAGGATGACTGAGGCTTTGGTGAAGCAACTTTCTTTGCTGAATCTTTCTCCTGTTCCTGGGTGTCCCCTGCTCCCTGTCCAACTCTTGACCACACTCCTTCTTGCTCTCCAGGCTTATTCCACATGAGTTCATTGACTTCCCTCCAAGAGAAACCTCACATCTGGTTTCTTCATCCTTAAACCGAGCCTCCTGAATATTTTGCACTTTACCATCTCTACTGAAGGCACACTGCTCATGTTGGCATCTTTTGGGTTTTAGCAGTCAAGGTTAATGTACATATCCTTGGGCATATTGACTTTTTAAAGCTATCAGAGTACAAAATCCTCAAATGCAAAGTGGACTGGATAGGTGTCCTACTGTCAAACTTCCATAACGTGTGGTGGGGAACTTTGCCTAAAGAGTACCACGTGCTTCCATCCAGTGATTCAGCTGACAGAGCCCGGGAACCACTCACCATTCCTGCCATCCATTGGCACTTGGCTCAGCACAGTTAGGCCGACGAGGACATAGTAGACAAGTCCAAAACAGTACTGTACGATGTGAATCACGGCACTGGAGAAGACACTGACATAGAAGCACTCGAAGAGCCTTCGCAAGCTGTGTAGCCATAGAAACACTAATACCAAGAATGCAGACAGTGCCAGCTCACCCCCTACAATTCAGAAAGCAAAACATTCAGATTTCTCTTTCCTGAATTAATTCATTTATGTTTTCCCCTGTTGTTACACACAGCATTAAACAAGATTAGAGCTAGGAAAGGGCCCTATAAATCATCCGGTCTAACACTTTCCATTTTTTAGCAATGAGAAAGTGGGCCAAGTGAAGTCAAGGAATTTGGCTCAAGTTACACAGTTAAGCTAGTGACAGAGCTGAGACAAACAGATCTCTTGACTCTGCTCTGCCATGTGAAAGCCTTCCAGGTTGCATGGACAGCATCGTGAAGGGTCTGTGCACTCAGAACCCAGGGTGTGCGGTTCTCTGAGCCCTGGCATTAATAATAATGAAGATGGTCAGGAAGAGTTCCTGGATGATGCCTGAGCAATCCCACTTGGTGAGATCCATGGGATCAAGGATGACGAGAGACATAGGCACCCACAGAGGCAGAAAGGAGGACAGGAATGGAGACAGGAAGAACTATGCATTCCTTTCCATATTAAAAAAAAAGAAAAGAAATTATACTTTTAGGAGACTATGAGCCTTGAGATCTATCTTCCTACCTGCCTCTTATGCAAAAGAAGTCAGAAGAAATGCGGGTTTTTAAAATGACATAAAAACCTAGATTTTTAAAAAGTAGATATCACACATATACATACACACATTAGGATACAATAAATATCCAATTTAATGAATTTTTACAAACCAACCCGCCCCATCCATATAACTAGCACCGAGATCCAGACACAGAACATGACCAGCACCCCTTGTGTTCCCTTCTAGGCATCGCTCCTCTCCTCCCTGCACCCTCCCAGGGGTAAGCCCACCCTGACTTCTATCAGCTGTAAATTAGCTTTGCCTGTTTTTGTATTTTAAATATGGCAAAACCTAGTTAAAACTCTTTTGGAATAGAATAAAACAAATACCCAAATAAAATTCCTCACTACCAACCCTCCAAATACCAGAACCCCAACGAGCCCCACAGTAAACAAACAAAGAGATAAATTTTCAGTGCCTGAAGTGAGATTCACTGAGGTACCCTTCCCTCCCAAATAGGATCTGCATTTGGTTTCTCTTCTGACTATCATCTTTTGCAACAATTTCTGGTTATACAGAAAAGGATTGTTCCTAAGGAGCCAGTGGCTTGGCTGCTGGAACAAAGGACAGAGATAGTATGAGAATAATGTTTCTAATTCTGTCCCTCACCCGCTGCCTGACATTACTTGAGGCCACTTTTGTTTTAACCTTCAATTCTTTATTTTAAAATTCTTCTTTATCTGAGGCAAATTTAATGGCTACTTTGTAATCATCTGGTCAACAACTATAGTCAATTTTATTATATAACCAAAGCCTTCTGACATAACAAACATTTTTAACCAGTGATCTAAAAGTGATTTTCTATCAAATTTCTGGAGTTCTGAGACATGGTTTTGGTTGGACTATATAAATGATAATTGTTTCAAGGCAAGCCCAAGGAATCCTAAAAGCTTTCCCCCTTTTAAAGACTTCTATATAAATTTGGCAACAGTATGAGAAATACCAGAGGGAGAACAGCCAGTCCTGTACACAGCCCAGCACTCACTAAAAAGTCAGGGACAAAGAGCTAACTCTTAACTCTGCCATGATCTCAATGAAGGACCTGGAGACATCTTGTTGGGATGGCTATGAACCATGAAGAATTCTGTTGTCCTCACCCTCCACTTGCCAGTTCCCACTGAGGTAGAACAACTTTACCAAGAACAGCTCCCTACAGACAGGAAGGACAGGAACAGGAAGCACTGGTTGTGATTAGTCAGGAGAGTCCTTACCTCGGAATTGTACAGTCCCAAGAATTCTGAGTAAAGCATGAAGCCAATATGGAAAAGGCACTCCCATAAACAGAGACTGAGTAAGGCACCAAATCAGGAAGCCATTCCACAGCACTGAGACCATATAGAAGTGAGAAAAATATCTGCAAAGGGAGAACAAGTTAGGCAATAATCAGGGCAGAGCCACTTTATTATGCAGGAAGACTATTTTTAGTTTCCTTCTCCTCTTTCCCCCATTCCCAAAGTACAGTTTCGCTTTTTAATAGAACCTGAATCCTACAGGTGTTCCAAGTTTAAACTTTTCCTTTCAAATGATGAGACCTGTTAACTCACAGGAAAAGGAGACCCCCCTGAGGTTAAGAATATAACTGACCCTGTTAAACTTAGACTGAGGGTCAATCAGCAATTTCTCTTATCTCTGGGTAACTGGATTGCGGTCAAGTTCCAAAATAGAGGGCCACAAGCTCTGGCAAAGAGAACCTAGACTGTACTAACAGAAGACAAATCTGTGAAAGATTTCTAAATCCCTGAGCAATATTGCCGCAATAGCCATATAACTGTTACCTAAGACTTGCACAATTACAGGCTCTCAGGGCTGTAAGAACCCTTAGAGGTCTTCTGAATCACTGTTTTTCTAAATTATGTTGACCTAAAAGACTTAGATGACAAATATTAACTCATAAAACTACACATCAATTCCTAATGGTTACAGCTCTCATTGTACTTCCAAGTACAATGCCTGTTTCGCAATCAACAGTTACAAATAAAACCATACCACCAATAAAAATTGCAACTAGCAATGTTAATTTGATGTACAAGGTGATGTTGGTTTGCTGAAAGGAAATCACCTAATACGGCACAAGGGCCTACCTACAACAGTCCATTTACTTTTTTCTCTCAAACCAATTTAAAATCATTCTGACTCTGCAGGGTGCCTGGAGGTCATTTGGCCTTCTCTTGTCTTCAGTGTAGCATTTTATATTATAATTTATATTAAGTCCCCATCCCTCTGTCTCATTAGACTATGACAAAGATGACTTGGAGTCAGGAGGAGTACACATAAACTTAGATACTCCTCTTCCAGATAATCCAGAATATTCTTGTATCAGAACCCACAGCTCCCCCAGACCACGCCCACAACCCAGTCTGATGAACACTGATCTAATCTGATCATTCCATAGCAACCCACTTAATTCTCCCGACTATTGTTACAGATTTCATCACTGGATCTGCCTCTCTGAGCCATCCTGTTTGTTATTCTTGATTCTGATCTCCAGGCTCAAGAGCTTAGTTTCCTCAAAATTTCATGCATCAGTGTCAATTCCACAGCCCCTCTCCACTCCGTAGGCCACTGGCCTTTGGTTGCTTTCCGGGTATTTCTTAAGTCACGCTTTGGAGACCTGAGCCCAGGTCTGGTCTGAGTGGCAGGAGTAGAGCAGAATGTCAGCAGCAACTTGCTCTACAGGCTCCCATGGAAAAGAAAGGGGGCTGGCTTCTGAAGAGCAACTTCTGGGCCAGTCACTTTACTTATTTCTTCACAAATATTTACTGAGCCCTTAAAATATGCCAGGCAATGTTCTTGGAGTCGAGGACTCAGCAGAGAGCAAAGAGACAAGGTCTCTGCCTTGATGAAGGTTACCTTTCAGCAGTCAACAAATGAACCTGCAGACATCTACCTAATGCTAGGTGAGGGGGCAGAGAGGGCGCAGAGGGGAGGCTATTCTGATGGGTGGTCAAGGATGGCCCCTCTTGAAGTGACTTTTGGTTAGAATGAGTAACCCTTGTGAATTTGAGGGGAAGAATTTTCTAGGCAGAGGAAATGACAACCACAAAGGCCCTGAGGTGCAATACAGGACACTGGGAGGAGAGGGAGAGGAGGTGGGGAGGGGGATGGGTGGTGCTACGGGGTCTTGTAAGGACATTGATTTTTAGTAAGAGTGAAGGGAAGCCATTTGAGCAGAATGACTTGAAGCAATACTTTGTTTTAAGAATCTCTCTGGCTGATAGAATAGTTCTGGAAACATAGTGGTGATGGTTGCATGAAAATGTGAATGTATTTAAAGCCACCGAGCCATAATCTCAAAATGAGTTAAAATGATGTTATGTCATGTATGTTCCACTACAATAAAAAAAAGGAGCATTGCTTATTCATTTTACTCTTCTTTAAGTTAAAAAAAAAAAAAAATCCCTCTGGTAACTAGGTAGAGATTAGTCTAGTGGAGAGACCAGTTTATCGAAAGATTAATTCTTTTCATCTTCACAAGCGTGTAAAATTTATGTGGTTATATTCACATGGCAGATGAGAAAACTGAGGCTCAGAAAGGTTAAGTTACATATCCAAGGTCACACAGTAAGTGGCAACATTTAGCTCCAGACTCAGCCCTGATGACTCTAAGTTAAAATCACACTGCTATGCTCCTATTCACGCAATCAAGACTTGCCTGAACCTGCTTTTCTGGCCCTACGTCACATGTACCAATTTATACGAAGCCTAAAGCTAACCAAGTAGCTCAAGTATGTTTGGTATAAGCTGCTAATGCACATCTTGTGCTCAAATTGTGCCATGTGTTTTTGATTCACAGGCAAACTATTTTACTTATTACTATGTTTTGTACATTTTATTTCTTGTTTTGCTTGCCTGATTTCCTTCCATAGGAAACATGTTCTTCTACTCTTTATACAAGGTTATACCTCTTGCTTTTTAAAGACTCAGCTCCAGCATCAAAATGCAGATCTAAAAACTCCACTTCCTTCTGTTTCAGACTCTCCCCCTTTTTCCTCCCTTGGCATTTTGCTTAATTGAAGCACTGTTTTCCTAGCCCTTGGGAGCATAGATAAGGTGACCCTTACAGTAATACAGAGCTTAACACTGAACAATCTCTCCTTTAACAAACATTTTCATGCTTATTATAAGCCAGGGACTTGTCAGGTGCTGTAACTGAGCAAACTAAAGCTGGGAAGAGAAGAAGGAATGCTGGTTATGACAAAATCATACTTTTAAACAGGGTGGATAGGGCACACCTCATTGAAAAGGTATTTGAGAGTTATAGGAAGTGAGTGCATAAGCCATGTAGCTATTTTGGAGAAAAGCTTTCCAGGTAAAGAAAACAGGCAGGCAGTGCAAAGGCCGGCCCTGAGGTGGGAGAGAGGACTAGCAGAGAAGCCCAGAAAACTGGACTAGAGCCACATGGGGGATACACTGTAGGAAACAAAGTCAGTGACTTTGAGAACAAGACTGTATAAGATCTTGGGCTCTTCCTGTTAGTGAATTAGAAGCCACTGGATGGTTTTGAGCCGGGAGACATGACCTAACTTAACACAAATCTGTGACCACAGGAACTGATGCCAGGCTCGGTGAAGGGAGTAATAGGGTTAACTAAGAAAGGGAACTAATGTTTATCTAGTTTTAAGTGCCTGGCCTTGGACTAAGTGCTCTAAGGTCATCACCACCTACATGCTGAGCAGGTGCTACTACGCTAACACTCTAATCCATTCCACCACCTATGGCCTTTTAATCCAGTCTTCTCCACACAATGGCTAGTCATCCTTTCAAAAGGTAAATCACAGTAATGCCATGTCTCCTTCCTCATCTTAAAGCCATCAAAGGCTTTCCATACATTCAGAATAAAATCTAATCTCCACCAGGGCCTGTAAGGACTGGTGAGCAATGAACTCATCTCCTGTCTCACTCCTCCTTGTCAATCCTTTCCAGCTTGTCACTGCCACCACCACTGCCACCCCCACCAGTTTTGCTCTTGATCAAGTAACCCTGCTGGATTTCCTCTGAAGCTACTTATCACCACCTGAAGTTATTTTGCTTGTTTTACAAGATTTGTTTACATATTTACTGTCTGTCTTACAAGAACAAAAGCTCCAAGGAGTCTAGAATAGCTCCTGAAACATAGTCAGTAGTACTCTATAAACGCTGGTTAAATATGAATGAACGAGAAGGTAGCTCACCAAAAGTTACTGAGTAAGCACTCAAGCAAAAAAAAAAAAAAACCAAAAACAACAACAACAAAAAAAAACAGTTAAACCTAAAACCATTTTTTAAATTCTTTCAAAACATTGATCAAGGACCTTATTATTTATCAGGCATTGCGCCAGGATATGGTAACAAACATACAAATGTAAACGTATGGAAAGCATGTAGTCTAGAGCAGGGATTCTTAACATTTTATCTTCCATGGACTCCTTTGGCAGTATGGTGAAGGCTACAGGCCCCTTCTCAAAGTGTTACTATAAGCTTAAAATATGTAGGTATTACAAAGGAAACCAATGTGTTGAAATATAGGTAACACAATTACTAAAATCCAAATTCGTGATATAGTAATATATGTGCTTCTTAATTAATGTGTCAAATAACAAGATCTTAGTTGGGAATAATTACAATACTCTTGTGGTGATGAAAACAATGTTTTGCAGTCTACAATATTTTTAATGTGTAATATAAAAAAACTGTCACAAAATTGCAGGTACCACTAATTCCACTGTAGTTTGTTAACTACACTCATTAAGGAAATGGTGAATTGTACCCAGATGTTTGTGAAATAAAGATGTAATTTTTTTCCAATCCAAGTTTGCCCTGAATGGATCCCCTGGAACTCTAGTTAGGACCCCTGGAGTCTAGTGGGGAGAGTCTGGATGGCTCTCTTTGTCTCTAGGGCTCAAGTCAACTGCAATGTTTTCATACTATTTTGAAATTTTAGAAAAAGGAGAGGTACTTCCACATATTTAATGCAAATCAAGAGCAGTGTGAGGTCATATATTTATTCAGACTTTCTGGGATATCGAAACTCTAAGAACCAAAAAGTAAACAAGAAAGGCAATCATCCCCTAATTTAAAAAACCTATCAGACAGGGGTAATGGAATCAAACATACATTCCATGAACTGATTTAAGGTTTTATTCTTGCCTCCTTAGGGGGGAAAACAAAATTCTGAACAAAATTATCTAAGTACTGTTTTTAGGTGCAGAAATGGGATTTACAGCTGCCTATTTCTAAGTGTAAAAATTATAGATTTATTTTTACTTTTAAGAAGCATTTTTGCCTTTCATTACTGACTTAGATTTGCTATACCTTCTCCAGTACTAAAAGAAATGTCTGTTTAAATTTAGAAAAAAGAAAAGCAAAACAAAGTACCATGAGAAGTTCCACTCTTACCTACTTCTCTTCCACTCTGGAAGAAAAAAAAAGTGTAAATTATTTTATAATATAGTAGAAATTACAAGAAGCCCAAAGAGTACCATTTGTTGCAGTAATAAATATAGGAAAGGTGGCAAGTGTGTTTCTTGGCTGTTAGTATAACGATGGACTTGAATAGTAACAGCTGTAGTATGGCGGGGGCAGAGAAGTGGGTAAGTGCAGGGAATGATTTGAAATGTGTCCTTTAATTCATGGACGCTAGTATCTTTTTCAAAATTCAGAAAAGAAATTGTTAGAATTCACGCTCTCTAAGAAACAATTTTTTTCCTTCATTTTATAACATTAAAAAATGACAACCCAGGAATGTTCCTGCTATAAAGTAGAAAAGACATACTGCAATCAAACATAATAAAGAAAAAAAAGGATGACAGGTATTTTTTTGCTTAAAAATACACTCTAAGAATTAGGATGTTTAACCAATTTGTCTTGAATAATTCTGCTTTTTCCCAAGGCCTCATTCCATTTACCCTTCCTCAGAATGACCTACTTCTCTCTTCTCAGCGTAACACCTGATCAGTCTTTCTCCAACACTCAAAAGTAGGGGATTTCCCACGTTTCAGAAGGCAAATTATACTTAGCTCCTTTCTTGTCTTCGGGACATTGCCTATGTGAGGTTTAAGCGACAAGCCAGGTGTTTTAATACATCAGAAACCATATAACATTCCTTCAGATTCCTTCCTAAATGCCAACTTAAGATGCATCTTAAAGGTAGAAAAGTCACTGCTATATGCCTACCATCTGGAAGTGTTTGGCTGATTCTTATTAGCTATATTCTGAATTCAAAGTAAAAAAAAAAAAAAAAAAAACCACAAAAAATCCAAACTATATCAAGTCTCAAAATTTCTGAAAGAATTCTATAAGCCCTAATGATTTAATCTTTGTTGACTCTGGTTATGAAATATGTTAAAAGTCAAATGGAGCTTCGGGCTCAAGCTTGCCTTACATGTGCCATCATGGGCAATTTTCTCCGGGGAAACCTGCGGAGGGTCAGTGCAGGAGAAGGTCAGTGCAGCGGTCGGTGGTGTAGCCAATTGTGAAGACCAGCATCTCGCCATTCGAGGGTCGGGGAGACAAACAGGGAAAACAGAGGTGCGAAGGGCGGACCTGCCTTCATTTCTAGTGAGTTCTGGCGACTTCAAGTTTGATTATGAGCCTCTGGAGTGCAGGGGAGGAGAAAGAGGAGAATTTGGGGACAAAGGAGACTAATTTGCTGCCTGGCGACCAGACCTAAATTCGGAAACGCTGCCATTTTCCCCGAGGGAAGGACTCCGTGAGGCCGCAAGTTCACGTCCCTGCGCCCTGGGCAGGGCGCGTGGCTCGGCACGTCTGTTGGTGGACAGTCGGGACATTCCACCCTCAGGGCCACGAAGTGGACGCAGGCAGCGCTCGGTGCCAGGCCCAGGCAGCGCGGCGTCGGAGCACACTCCTGGCCCAACCCGGCCGGACGAGCGCCAGCCCCGCGCCCGCCTCTGCTGCCCCCTGCCGGCTGCGCGAGCCTGGAGTCCCGGACTCTCCGCACCTTGGCAGCCCAGACTCGCGCCCCCGGTGCGGTTACCTCTTGGGGACATCAAAGCTCAAGCAGACGGCCGGGCGCAGTGACGCCCTACTCTTGGTTTTTCCATAGCGGATCAGGTCCTGGAAGAGCGCGCAGCTGGGGAGCAGGCCAGGCGGCACGAGCTGCAGCAGCAGCGTTAGCAGGAAGGCGGCGGCCAGCGTGAGCCACAGAGCGCGCAGCGGGGTCAGCGCGGAGAGCTCGGCCCCCGCCCAGGCAGCCATGGCCCGCGCGCCAGCTTCCGCGCTGCCTCGCTCCGCACCGCCACCCGGCGCAGGAGCAGCTCTTCGCAGGCTGCGCGCCGCTCTTAGGCAGGCGGGACGTCAGTGACGCGGCGCCGGGCGAGGACGCGCCGCCCCGCC